CCCACCCAACTGGGCCTGGACCACGGCCGGGGTTGGGCCAGCCACAGCTTCTCTGGGCAACCTGTGCCAGTGTCTCACCACCCTCACTGGGAAGAATTTCTTCCTGATGTCTAATCTAATCTACCATCTTTCCACTTAAAGGCATTTCCTTCATGTGCTATCACTACATGCTATCCCCCTCCAGATTTCTTCGAGGCCCTCTTCAGGCACTGGAAGCTGCTATAAGGTCTCTCTGGGGTCTTCTCTCCTCCAGGCTGAACAAGCCCAGCTCTCTCAGCCTGTCTGCATAGGAGGGGCGCTCCAGCCCTCTGATCATCTTCATGGACCTCTGCATTTAATCCTGTCAGCTTTGTTTCTAGTGCCATCAGTGGCCATTCTTGAGGAATTAGTTTTCACTGTTCCCAGACTTTTTACAGGTGACTTGTGACTAGCACCATTGGGGTTTTAATGTGTTATACCTGTAGCAAGAAGCATGATCATACTTGCAGAGGCTGATACTAACAGTTGACATATCAATGCTGTCAGAAATGTGGATGCATCTATAAGAATATTCTCCTTAAGGAGTGAGGTGTGCACCATTTCCCTGCAGGGAAATTTCTTGGTAGTTCGTCATTTACTTGCAGGGACATGCTGGTGTGTCTTCAAATAACTCTTTGCCTGTGTTGGTTAGTTCTGAATTCTCTGAGGGAAAAGGTAAAGGAGGAAAGAAATAGGAATCCTTGTCTTCCTGAAGAGAATTGCATTTATGTTTTGCTACAGGGACGTTCTTTCTTCATGCAAGGAATGCCCAAACTCCTGCAACAGAAAACTCAAAATATTTATAGATAAAACGGGTAGAAAAGCTGCAAACTATCAAAAAATTCTCAGTGTATAACATGAAGGGGGGTATGGTACAAAGAGCTGGACAATAATGAAAAGCATAATAGGATGCAGTTGGTGGTTTACTTTTGCCTCAGCTTTAACCATAGTACGTTGATTTGAGTTCTTCTGCCCACTATTCCTAAGCAAACAGAGTTTTCCAATAGCTTTGTAAAGCTAGAGGTTGAGGGGGTTGTTTGTTTAAGTTGGGATGCAAACAGCTTACAACAGACTCCTGTCAAAGCTGGCATGGGCAAGCTTTGCCACCACTGTGCAGCTGCCTGGGGAGCTGGTGTAAAGCTCCTGTCTGGAGACTGGCTCTGCCTGGGGTCGTAGGAGTTGTCAGCATGACTGTGCAGACGTGGTCTCTCATGGGGCTGCTCTAGTTCAGCCAACGGAAGCAAAAGCCTAAAATTGAGTCAATCCAGCAGGCAATATGGTGGCAGACAGTACTGGAGGTGGGAGGCAGACAGTACTGGAGGTGGGAGGCAGACAGTACTGGAGGTGGGAGGCAGACAGTACTGGAGGTGGGAGAGCAGGAGTAAGTTTGGACTTGAGGCTGGGAAGGAAAAAGGCTATTTCTGGGTGTTGGACAGGTCACATGCAGGGAGTTGAGCTTGAGGGAAGATAGGGAAGGGAAGTCTCTCAGATAGTGAAAGGATTTAACTAGGAGGAAGTCTGCCGCATTTCCAAAGTGGGACAATAGGGAGGGAAAAAGTGAAATTCGACAGTACACGTACATGAATTTTGTTCTCTCCCTCTGATTGAAAAAACCTTGATTACTCTTCTGACAGCAGGAGTGTATAAGAGAATGAAAAGGTTTGGTTTGGTGGTTGTTAGCTAATATAATGCACTGATGATCAATTTTCCAGTTTTAGTACAATAATATTGAGCTGCAATAGGAGGAACATCAATACCTACCCACATGGCTGCTGGCAGCCCAGTTATTTGGCACTAGCTTGCTGCTGGTTCCTGATACCTGTGCCAAAGAGAAGCACTTTCCTAAGGGTTGTAGGTGAATGGGAACAATATTGTAGAATTCTGCATCAGATGCAGAATTGGGTCTTGCCTCAATATGGAAACTGTTCTCTGATCAGCTGTTATCCACTAAACAAATATCTTTCATCTAAATATTTCAAGACCCAGCACTTGAACTCCATGTCTTTGTACATGTTTATGTTTAACAGTTGAGGCATTACTAGCAACATGACATAACTGTCCTGCCTTTTTTTTTTTTTTTGTAGTTTCAGTTGTAATTTGAGACTTTAAAGGGAGAGATAACTAGAAAGGGGTTATCTGTATATCTAAATAGAATTATGAAATGTGCTGTAACCACTCTTTATTCCTCGAACGAACACTGATGTTTAGCGTAATACAGTAAAACTAATTGCTGAATGGCTAATCAGGCAACCTGGGGAGCTTGCAGCCATCAGGAACGTTAGTACTGAGCTTTACAGTGCTCAATATAGCAGTCATATGTTAGGATCAGTGTGCTGGAAACGATACTGAAGTCCAGTTTGTCATTCGATGATTTATTGCTCCTTTCAATAGATGCCAAAAAACCATATGTTTTCTTGAAGGTTTACTCCCCTTGCTTTACAAAGACCTTGTACTGTAGGTTTAGACTGGGCTTTTTCATTATGCTTGAAATTATTATTTATTTATTTTTTTTTTTAAACTACAAAATTTAGCACTTCTAAAATAGAGCACTCTGGATTTTTAAACTTGCAGGGAAAATCAGAAAAGCACAAGGCACCACAACTAGCAGATGTTTATACTCCCAATTTGATTTTTTTCTTTTAGACTCCCGTGCTGTTGAAGGAAGCCTTAAGTTATTCTTGACAATAACCACCTGTAAGAGGGGTTCATATGAGAGGATGACTATTTGAGTAAGGATATGAAATCTGACTTCAGAGCCTCTTGAAAAATGAGCTTTGTTCTTTGTTTATTTCCATTCCAATACAAGAGATATATTAACATACTTGAAGTAATGTGGCTGTTGCATAGAGACTTTTTATCTAAAGAATTGCCAGCTCATTACTTCACTGTAGAGGAATGTGATATTTCTAGTATTCCACTTCAGTGACTAGATTAAATAACTGATGAAAGCCTGCTACTTTGATGCTATTGCTTGTTGTCTTCATAATAATGGTTCACTAAATATCCTGCTTTTGTGCTTGTTTCCAGTCCTTTTGTTTATATCCCATATCTTCCTGCTTCTGTCTTCAAAACCTTTGCATTTAATTCTGTGGCTTCTTTCTTAGGGAATGGTACTTAAATAAATACTTTGTAAAACTGAAGTAGCACTTGGAGTAGTTGCTTAATGATCTTGTGTCATGACTTAAAAGAAATTCTCCCTCAAGCTGGGCTTTTGAAAAGTGTGTTTGAGTACTTGAAGTAATTACTTTAATAGAAGCGTTATAGAAAAGCACCGAGCAGTAGAAGAACTAAGTAAAGAGCAAAGGTCATCTGTTTGACTGCTTCTGAAACTGGTCATCCTAGAGTGTGCTGTGCTCACTGAATGGGTTTGAGTTCACAGCTGGCTTAGAGCACTGCTGCATTCCCGTGTCTGCAGAAAAGGCAGGCTGGCTGCAAGTCATATATAGGGATCACACTGTACAAGAAGAGATTGAGCATTTTCACATGCTTGTTCACTGTGAACAAAACAGGATTTTGTTCCTGTACCTTTTGAACTGGATGAACAAGTCCAGCACAATAGCAATCAAGCATGCTACCCTCATCTTTAAACAATAAAATGCAGCTGATAAGCTACCTTTATTCCTTTAGCTGCCTTTTGAAATGTAAAGCTTTAAATTACTAAGTCGAACCTGCAGCATTTGTACAGCAGCCCCTTTTCTGGTTGGTTGGTTGGTTGGGTGTGGGGTTTGGTTTTTTTTCTTGTTCTGTTTGTTTTGAGGGAGTGATGTTTGGGTTTTGCACCTTGTTTTGCGAGAAGCTATTTAGGAAAGGAATTTCTGCCTGGTCTGGATTAATTACTTTGATCCATTAATGAAACAAGGTGTTATAGAACAACATGGAAAGTGTTTTATAAAGCTGCCAGATTTGTTGTATGAAGTTCAGATGTCACAGAAATTATTTTGGTCAAACACAAGTTACTTCATCAGATGTCACAGAAATTTTTTATTTTGGTCAAACATAAGCTATTTCAGGTATGTTGTCTGGAGTGCTGTGTTAGAAATGGGTTTTCAGTCAGTGTGAGTTTGGTGTTCTCCTACCGCGACAAAGGCTGGATGCTGTGCAGTGAGTTGGATATATTCAAGGGTCTATTGCAGTAATTTGCAAAAAATTCTAAAACATGGTTGGTAACTTTGTCTTGGAGATCATGGTTTTGCGTAATGTATGTTTTGAGACAAGTTATCTAATCCTGTCACACCACCTACTGTTGAAAAGCAGACACTGGAACTAAGTGTTTTTCTTGCCTGAATCTTAATGTAATACCCTAATGTCACACTTTCTTGACAAAGTGATTGTTTCTTGGCCTTTAGTATTGAGGAGGTCCTGCAGCAAAACTGATGTTGAATAAAGTGGAATTGCTAGCTAATCTGGTCGTACTTCAACAGTCTCTTACATAGCTAAAGTAAAATTGAAATGTGGTTTATAGTGACAGGAATAAAGGGAACGGTATGCCCTTTAAATAAAAACTTGATTGTTCTAAGTCAAATCTGAAACATTCTAGTTGTCTCTCCAAGTAAGAAATTATATCTGTCAGTCTTTAAAATGGCAGTAACATCACAGGTTTTGTAAAATGTCTTTTGTTACCAAAAATAACAGAATAGTTAAAAAGTCTGCCTTCCATATCTCTGTTTTTGTACAAAATTGAAAACTACTTCCATAGTTATTCAGAAGACTGTAGAAAAAATCTTGATGTTAGAGCTGACAGGAGTCAACTCGGTGCTGGCAAGACAGGTCTGTGTGTACATAACTTCCTTTGGGCCACTGTAGTTTTAATCTGGGTGCACATTTTTATGAAATAGACTAAAAGCTTATTTTAACTAAACAAATTTTCTTGCAGAAAGTGTACTTGTGTCATTAGTATTACAAGAGCAAGCTCCCATCTGAAGGTGGCACACTGGCCTCATATATAAATACTCATTGGATTAATTTAGCTATTGGGCATTTGTATTCAACAAACTCAAATGAAAACAGGAACAGCATTTAATGCAAAAATGTGTCTGCACCAGTCGGCCACTAAGAATTTGGTCCTGGGGGGTGCTGTTTAACTAGTCCTGCAGAACTAGTCAGTTTTCAGTGTATTATGTGAGTACAGCACAATTTGATATTCTTGTGCAGTTTGTCCTTGAAAGGAGGGAATCTCTGGTTTGGGGCTGGGAACAAATGAAATAATTTTTCTTGGACTGTCTTTGAGCTAGAGATTATATTCTTACAGGATCGCTAGTACAGCTGACCATAACACACAGAGGTAGGAGAATGCAGGAAAAACTTTGTGCATGCATATTTCTGCCTTGAAGGCTGGTCTTTAAAGCTCTTGACTTGTTCCTGAGGTCAGTATGCAGGTAAAATGGGATTCTTTAAATCCCTGGCACTGCTTTTCTGCATTTACAACATATTTTTACCATGTCAATATGAGGTAGATTAAGCCTTTTTACATGTATTTTTAATGCGTAAATATCTTTCGTTCCTATATGTATATGACAAGTAATTTTTTAAGATTCTTTCCAACTCCTTTTGTTCTTTTCTCTCCCTACCCCTTCCCCCCCCAATTGACAAGTATAGGATCCTTGCCAAGAGAGAGGCATGCCTCCGTGAAAAATTCTCCAGTCTCCTGGGCTAGCTCCAATAAACCGCTCGCCAAATCCAAAGTGCCTATCAAAAGATCAGTGCTTGAGAGAACTCCTAGCATCTCATCAGTCAGCAGCACTCAGAGTGAGCCAAATCTTTTCAGCAGTAACTGTAAGTATCCATCAGGGTTATATGAGTTTTAACTGATCGTCAGCATCAACTGCTTGTTGGAAAGAAAACAAAAACAATCCCCTTAAGGGAGTCCTGTCTGACAAAAGGCCTGTGTTAATTCTAATTGTACTACATAATAGCTCTAGATCTTAGACTTTTTACCTCTTACCTTACAACCTTCCTTCTTGAGGTACGCCACTTGAAGGAACTTTGAGCCTTGGATTTTGGTTTGGTGGCTTAGAGGTTACAGTAGAGCTCCTCTTCCATCCTGAAACGTTACAAAAACAGTGGGGTGTGAGTTTCCTTGTATTTACATGTAGTGTACTGAATGGATGGATTATGACTACCTATCCTAATACAGCATGTTACAGGTTTTTGATACTAAATGCTCTTTTTGAACTAGATTATGTCTGCTTTCAGGGTTTTAAGACAAAATATGTAGGTGAAATCAAAAGCAGGTAAGTCAAACTGCTTATAAAATGTTTTTTAGAATGTTTTTGTGTATGTAGACTTCTATAATTTCTAAGGTAACTGTAAGCATTGGTGTATGACCTGAACCAATTCCATTTTGATTAAAAGTAGGGAGGAAAATAACAGAACTTGCTTTGATTTGTAGCTCTGCAAAGGGTCTGTACCAGCAGTCGTGGGAGTTCTAGGGACAGAAATATGAAGGACGTAACACACAACTGACTATCAGATGTAGTAGTATTCCCAGCTATCCATATTCTGTCCATCTGCATCATCTGTTATATCTTAGAGACTGGGCAAAGGCCTTTACTTTGTGCCAGATGATGTTTAAATCTGTCTTCAATGGGCTGAAAAAGGGAATGGTGATGTAACATATGTCTGTAGTTTATGTATGCACATATGCATACATAACTAAATTTTCTCTTGGTTTTTGAGTTTTGGAGGTTTTTTGCCCTTTTGTTTGTTTTTCTTTCCCCTGGGGTGCCTTTCTTAAAAAACTAAGACTTAACGTATTCCTCGAAGGAATAAGAGTGTGTAATAAAGCACGCATTGCATATTCCTGCGTAATCAGGTCGGTTCGGTTACTGTGACAGCCATGTTGACTTTTGCTGTTCAGGTTTAGGATTGTATCTGGAATTCCTAAGCAGCTTTGTTCTCTCTTCATTTTACTTCTTCGTGTAACAAAGGAAAGGGTCATCGCTTCATAACAAAGAAGCGTATTCAGATTAAGTATCCAAACAGATGACTCTCTATTTAGCCTTACTTGGTAGCCAGTTTAATCTGTTTTGTCCACTGCCTTCAAGCTTACAATTTTTTCCACTCTGATTCACAAAGAGCAAGCAAGAGCAATACGAGCTGTTGAAACATGGCTGCAGTTTCTCTGGCTTTAAGCTTGCTTTGATCTTTTTTAAATGACTATACCAGGAGGACTCCGCAGTTGCACAGAAACTCATTTTTCTCCTGTTATTTTCATCAATTCTACACTAACACCACCGTCTGATTCAGGAAGCCACTTTGATATTACCTTACTGACATTGCTGGTAGTGGGATCTTACAGCTTTTGTATTATTCCTTTGTTAGCCACGTTCACTGGGAAAAGAAGTAGGTTGTATTCCTTTTTATTTCTATTTTAAAGCATGTGTTTTGTGGAGGCTGCTAAATGTATGCAATGTTTTGATTTGCTGATGTTCTGTGAGATGATTTTTCTTTAGTTAATTTCTTACACTTGAGAATGATTTATGTCTGATGGTCAGGTTTTGTGAGTAGGAGTTTGTTACGTATAATTTATAGGGTAATAAAGTGAAGTTTTTGAGTTTGAATTAAATTGGAAAGAACTCACGAATTTACTTTGTACTCTAATATTAGAGCACAGTGCTGTTCTTGGTTTTTATTCTTTCATTTGCTCTACTATACAGTAATGTCAGGAAAAATAAATCTGTATTTGTAAACCTAAAATGTTTTTATTGGATTGGTGAGACAGACGAAGATCAAGATGGGAGCCTTATGCTGTGAATGCCATGAAATTTATGACTAATTATTGTGGTCCTGTCAACAGTATTAAATTTACAAAGTTGCTTGGCTTGTTTTGCTGAAGGAGTTTGCCTTGCATTAGCAGGGAAAAAAACACAAAAGAGAGCATTTCTCCTGCTGTGTCAGCTCAGCCCTTTGTTATGGGATGTCCATGGATTAGTATTTTCCTGTGGCAGCATTAGGGTATTTTTTTTTCTTGTCTAATGAGCACTTGAGTTCTATGATTTTATTTTTTTTTTTTTGTCTAAAAAGACTTATTATTTGAGAAGTTTGGAAATCACGGTGTCTGAAATGCTGTTGTTAATAAAAGTGTATTTTGCACGCAAGCTGTCAGTTGCAGCATTGAAAAATTCTTTTTATAAACAGCAGACAAACCTCAATTTCAGTGCTGAGCTGAAAGTGCTGTCATTTGAGCATACCGAAATGTTTAAACTCTGAGGTTAAGAACAGGAATCCAGATATGAATTGCATTAGTATAATTGCATGGAAAGAAAATAGTGTTTCAGAAGTTAAAAGACTGATCCTAGCAACTGACCTGGAGCTGCATTTCTGTGCAGTCAATACTTGACTAAATTCTATTAAGAAGTTGAGTTTTTAAACCCTTTAGATTTTAGCTGTGGTGAGATCACTTCATACCTTCTATCTTTCATCAAGATCGCACTAGCTACTCCTAATTCTATGAATAACAATCTTTGAATCATATAGTGACCAAACTTTGCAAGTTTGCCTTTTTTTCTGCACTCAGCCTGGTTAGCTGATCCCAGAGCTCATAACAGGACAAAACAGTGCCCTAACTAGTCCTGGGCACTGGACTAGTTAGGTGTCCAGTGTGTGCTCGCTTACCCAATGTGTTACTTATATGTCATGATTCTCAGTTAGAAGCAGCACAGCAGTCTGTAGCCAGTTGTTAGCTCCTTGCAGTGAACTCTGAGCAAAAATCCTTCAGTGATTGACAGGAAGAGTTAAGGACTGTTTCAGGCCTCACACTGTACTAAAACGAATTGGTTTGAATCCTCTGATGTTGATCAGGATCAGATACCCACAGAATAACTGTGTTATCGATGTGTTATGCAGATTGTTCCTAATGTGTTTTTTTTTTTTTTTTGCAAGTTTTTAGCTTCTGTGCTTTTAGAGAGGCTCCAGCTTTGTTAAAAAAAGCATAAATGAGGAGGACTTCAGCTGCATATGTTTCTAAAAGGGAAAATAGTTCTGTCCCTCTGAGGTTGAAAATATATTGATTAGTGGCCAAAAAGCATGTTTTTGAAGCAGGTAACTTTTGTGGTTTATGCTAGTGCATTTAAAGATGCTAAAATTATCTCAAGACTGTATGTGCCATCTTTCAGTGAATGTATTGGGTATCTAGTTCACATTACCTTTATAAAAAATCTGCCTCATTAGAACACTAATCTGAGGCAAACCTGATACGACCCCACTCTCTTTTTCTTTAAATGACTACAGAAATAAGCAACAGTGTGACCAGCTATTCCAGTGTAACTTAGTTTTTGCTTGTCTTTGGTAAATGCAATTATCAATTCTTTAACTCTTTACTGTGTCAGTATACATAATTTTTTAGTACCTGAACCAGAGTGTTCTCAATCCATACTTACTTTAGAAGAATTTTTTTTTCCCCCTCAAAAAAATAAAACATTGATTTCCCCAAATTTCAGGTGGGGCTTTTTGTTTTGTTTTGTTTTGTTTTTTTTTTTTTCCAAGGAAGAAATCTTGGTGGTGACAGCAAGCCCAAATCTTTCTCATGTTCCTTTGAAATGGAGCCAAACATCTTCTGCAGGAACTGCCCTGTTAGTTAGAACTCAATTTTGACATGAGAGGTAGCAATTGGTTATTGTCTCACCTTTCCCAGTTTGAGCATGTCTGCCTGTTTTTGTAGGGAGTACTTTGCTGTGTGACTTCAGTGCTCTCAGGGGGATGGACAGTCTTCTGAGGTCTGCTGTCACTGGGGAGGTAGCTGTTATGAACAGAGTCTACAGGAACCATTCTCAAAACTTGTTTAGTAGCTGGCGAGGGCAGTTGGGTTCACACTTTAGTGCCCCCCAGAGAGGATGGAAGGGATGCAGAGTCCGCTGGTGGTTCATGCACCATCATTAAAATGGCAGGCTCAGCTCAAATGAGAGAGAACGGGGGAAGATGTTGCATGAGGAAGTTGGCTGAGTTTTAATTGGGTTTGATGGTTTTTAACAGTCAGTTCTCTGGCCAGAATGTTTCTGTGTACTGATGATACCTTTTCTTGGCTTAAACTGAAATGTGTTTCGTATTTGCTTTGTACAGCAAGATCAGACTTCCTGTTACGTATCTTGATCAAATACTTTCATATATTTTCACTTCTTAAGTATAGTTCAAAGCTGTATGTCTAGTTCTGAGAAGCGTTTATAACAGTCGCAGACTTATCTGTTACAGTTCATCAGTCCGTACTGAATGTATCGGAGGTGGTAGTAACATTTTTATTCCAACTTTATCTCCTGACTTTAGCTGTTGGTAAAATGGGCTTGTTTAAGGATTTAATTTTCCTAAAACTAGATACTGCCTAGAGCAAATTCTTTATTATTCTGTGTTGCAGCTGCAAGTGCCACAGTCATTATCAAGAATGGAGAATGGCCTAAAAAACCAGGCTGTCAGAATGGAACTTCTGCTCCTGTCCCTTTGAAAACAGTACCAAGACCCAGGTTACACTCGTTGAAGTCAACCCCAAAAGGTACATTAGACTGTTTGTAAATAGAATGAAACTGTAGTTACTACTGTTAAGCTACTACACTGTGGCAGTGTGTGCAGACCTACCCTGAATTTATCCTGACTATATGGTTGCCCTTGTCCTCATGCAAACTTTGTTATCTTCATCCCTTTCAGGACAGAAAGTACCTTGGGGGATGGAGATGTTTTTTTGAATAAAGTATTTGATGAAGTATCTTCTTTTGTAGATGGACAACACTGTCCTATCTTTCCAAGGGAAGAGTCCCAGAAACAGCTTGGCTCTTCATGCAGCTTTTTCTTGATATTCTTTTTAATGGCTGAAGTGGAAGCAGAGGTTTGATCGAATATTTAATGGACATAAGACAACTGTGTTTCATCATCTGGTGCTAAAGGAAACACTAATTTACACGTGCTTCCTGGCTTTGTATTAAGCACTATTATAGCTCCTATTCCTATATGAGCCAAGACCCCTCAATTGGCCAACAGTGCTTCTTCATTCAAGCTAGAAACAGCAGTTGACAGCTCAATCTCTGGCCAAAATTAAAGACACAACAGGAGCAGATAAATAAGCTTGCTGTCTCTCTCTCGTAAATCCTAGTTATAATCAGCTTGCTTCTGACCGTCTTTGTGGTGAACTGGTTATTGTAATTGGATAAACCTAATTAAACACAATGCTCCTGCTTTAGGCTTAAGTTTTAAGCTGGTATCTGACATAATTGAAAATAAATAGAATAGATGCCTGCCAAATGTCATGATTTAAAATGGTAAACTGTGAAAAGAAACAGAGTTTGCCACAAACTATAGATCACTTTGAAACAAACACAAATCATATGGATGTCTGACAAGCTGGTGCTTTCTTTTAGAATCTAATACATGCAACACACGTATGCACTGCTCAATATCTAAAGTGATCAAGGTTCTAGAAATGTGTTTTCAGCACGTGCAGGAGCAGTGTGGCCAGAAGAACCTGGTTTTCCGCCCAACGGAGCTTTAGAGCATCCCTTCCTGGAGGTTTGCAAGGTTCACCTAGGCAAAAGCATGGTCAGCTGATCTCTTGTCTTGGTGGTGGCCCTGCTCTGCTTGGGAGGCTGGATAGCTGGCCTCTGGAGGTCCCTTTCAGACAGTCTTTATGTAGCTATGTTGTATTTGCTGCAGTTTGGAGGCTTAAGTAATTCAATCTTAGTGTGAAGTAAAATCTACTAATGTTTTCTTCTGCTTAGAAGTTTTATTAAAGCTATGTTTTTCTTTCTTCCAGTATGAGTTGTGATAAAGTTAAATATAGCTTAAATTTTCTAGGTAGTATCTCTTTCTCTGAGTAGCTTCGTGCATCTTTTGCTTAACTGAAAGTATGTAATATTTGGCATGTCTTTAACTGCTGACATAGTTATACTTCTAAACCTGATCTAAGCTTCTACTTCTAGGAGCCAAGGCCAGGTCTGTTTCACTGAACCAGTGCACATCAAAATCATCTGGGCCACTGCACTCAGCAAGGAAAGTCAGTGAGACTAGAGGTAATCAGCTGTTGGGTCAAGTCAGTTTTTCACTTATGTTCTTGAATCCCTCTGTTTTGAGAAAGAGCAGCTGTGCTTTATGACTTCAGAGTAATTGAGATAGTAGTCTGCTCTTTTTCCTTGTAGTTCAAAGTATTAGAGACTGGATCTGTGAAGTATGCCTTATGTATTTGTATCCTTATGTATTGGGTCGGGTGTATGTGTAGAAATCAGGGCATTCATTGTCCACTGTCTGCTTTAAACTTGCATCCCATGAGGATTCGGAATACGTGATAATGTCTGTTATATGATCTGTCACCTGCTTTATGAGGTCATATACTTGCAAGACAACCCAGACTGGATTTCCCAACTTTGTATTTAATTTAAGGAAGACTCTTGTTGAGAGCATGTTGATGAGGTTTGGCTGTTGAGGATAATATTTATCTGTATCAGATGCTTGTTTTGTCTTCAGCTTTCAATTGAAATTAGTAATTTTTACGAGAGTGAATCAAAGGAATAGATACAAGTCTTGGGGCAGGCTTTGTAAGGTAAAATTTTCACACTGGGAGCAAAATTACTTTTGTGTGGCCGAGGTGAGGGGAAACAAGTATGGAGCAGAACAAAGCGGGTTGTTTGCTGTTGAAACATCTGTTAGAGGACCACACGCTATTTGTAAAGTGTGAAGAAAGTTGGTAGGTGTTATCAACAGATCTTTTGCAAACTTCTGCACATGGCTTTTGTGCTTCGACCTAGCAGTCTGAAAGTGCTTTCATTTAATTAATAGTCTTGAAATGAGGTTCTTAAATCAGTTCTCACATGACTCTACAACAATACAGTAAGGGTAGGTCAACCTCCTCGGTGCTTTCATTTATATCTAACTTGACCGGCAGCACATTTGAGAGTGCCGTTGTTTTATTTGTATAAAGGAGGTATAACTTATCTGGAGTGTATAAGTGGAAAAAAGTTACTATGGTACCAGTATAGACAATTGTGTTTTATTATCTGTGGTCCTCTATGAATGAGTAAAATAAAACAGTGCTACTTGGCTTAAATTAAGTACGATAATTGTAATTGAAAGAAAATGTTTGGCTTATTGGGAATTCATCATGCATTTTCCAAGTAGTTCAACTTTAAAATGCTAGATCTTGCTGTTGAAAATGCCATCAGCCATTGCAAGAAAGAAACTGAAATAGTCAAATTTGAGGAGCTTATGTGGAACTGTCCCTTACTGGCTTGAAGTGTAATTCTCTATTTTTTTTCCATCTCCTGAATATCATAGGTACTCCTGGAAGAAATGGACACCAAAACCTATCTTGCTTGGGTTCTGGTGAGTTTTCTTAACACATTTTTACATTTTCTGTGTTGCAACTTAAATTAGGCTTATACATTGTATTAGTATATTGGTTCTTTTCTTGGAAGAACAGTGTTCCAAATGGTAATTCCATAAACCATCACTGGTTGCAGTTTCAAGGCATATGGAGAAAACTCTTGGGGGGTTTTCTACTTACTGTGTTTGGGCTACCCAGCTCTTAGAATATGTAGTCTGTGCTGTCACTCTCTCTGTTTCCAATAAAGCATAAGGAGGTTTTAACTGTAACAAAAAAAGTATGGCAGTGACTCTTGGATGTAGTTTCTGCTGTTTATCCACATTGAGGTAAGTAATGATTAAAGCTCATATGTTTTGGCTTTAAAAAAAATAAATAGAAGAATCATGCAGCATAACAGGTTTTTCTGGAAGGTTCACAGTAGGTACACTTTTTGGTGTGTCACTGCAGACTACGCTTGAATAAGAAGTTGAAATTATCTAAGTGTGTTCATGTGTGTGTCTGCTTGTATGGCAGAGGGAGGAATTGCAGCTGACTAAGTGGCAGATGGCATTCCAAAATCTGGCAGAGTTTTAAGGACTTCATATTGGGTTTGTTTTCGGTGTTTATGCCGGTCAGGACACCTGGTGCTAGTTTTTATCTGGCAGGAGACAGAAAAGCCTTCAGATGATGTTTCTCCTTGCAGCAATTTCCAGGTCTTTTCAAGCAAGTTGGCAGTCTGAATTAGTTACTTGAACATCAGTGTGTATTTGCTGAATTAAAAGCTGCTTGTAATTTATTATTCATTGAAAAGCCCTCTTTTGCAAGATACTGAAGACCACTGGAAAGTCTTGTGTCCCCTGAGTGAATAGCAGATGTCTTTCTGAAAGAGGTGCTGTAGCCAAGCAGATGTTACAAGTTTGAGTCTGGAATCTGGGTAAATGGGTTCTGATCTGTAACTCTGGTACTGTGGCAGAATGTTTTTATTTCCTGTAGTCAGAACATTTAGTCCAATGCTTTTGGCTTTTAACTCTCTCGGGTGTCAAATGTCTACATATTAATTGTGGCTGAGTAGTTTTCTCGGTATCTTGTGTTAAGAGTCAGGGCTTCTGTTGTACAGCAAGTATAAGAATTTGCACAAAGTGCTTATTCTCTTTGGCTGAACTAATGTTAGTTTAGGTATAGTCTGACACCAAGTATCATAAGCTCATGTGTAATCCGTTAAATAAGGGTGTAGAGGATGCTACAGCTAGCAACATAATGTCTTAATTAGCTCAGTTGAGGAAACTCACCATAAGCAACAAAGTCTGTTTCGGCACTAGAAACAGAAAATTAAATTCCTATTCCACTTGCTTATGATAGTCTTAAAATACAACTTTATTTTCCCCTAAATTTAGCGTGGCACTTCCTCTGTTTTCCATCCAAAAAAGTATTTACTGTTCCCTCCCCTTTTTACTAATTTAATGTAAGTTTTCTTGTGATTCTTCTTTTCCAACCTAATAAAAAATGTGGCTATATAGCCTTACAGTATTATATTCAATATAAAAAAATGCTGTAAAAACACAGCTGCAAACTCCAAATTAGCTGTAATATTTAGTGATTCTTTAGCAAATGGTCTTTAGCAGCATACTTTTGCCAGTTGAATAGCTGTGTTTCAGTGTTTGTCTTAAACCTGGACTGTTTCTTGTACGGAGTCAGCTTCCAAAACTGGATGGTAAGTTAGACTTCCAACTTAATACTTTCTAACTTGTACAGAGTATTAGTATAATTTCCCATTTATGAATGCAAAGCTTTCTGATGGAGTATTCTTTTTAAGAAAGATTTTTTCCATCTTCACAGTTGCAGATAGTTCTTACAGAATAAAAATATTGTGCGGCTGCTTGAATGTTCTGCAGTACAATCAATGTCTTACATTTTAAGAAAAGACAAATGATCTTTTTGAAATGAACTGAAATAATGCCAGCTGGTACCATGTAGAATGGGGCCTTCTCCTTTTTTTTTTTTTTTTTTTTTTTAGCAGACTTGATATTATAGTGAAGCTTTTGTTCTAGTGATTTTAGCTACTTTAAAGCTTTTGTTCTTTTATTTCGGTGCCACAGTTAACTCTACAGTTTTTAGCCTCATTCAGTGAGGAGGTCTAACCCCACTTCTATTTCTTACCCATGTGCTCTGTCTGAAGTCTTGACTAGTTTAATGCAATAGGACTCTGATAATTGATTACAATATTAAGGCATTAAGTGTCTGCTTAGTTGTTACTGTTGCATTTTTGCTTTACTTCAAGGATGGAAAAATAACAGGCGTTTCTAGGGTATGGTCTTTGTTCTCTGACTTTGCTCTTTATCCATTTTCCATTCACTTACAGCAATGATGCAAGGTCAGAATCTGCTTGACAAAGCAAGGCACAACATACTGTTAGTATGCCTGTAAAATTGGAGAGGCTTATGTATTTGCAGCTGTTCATGTGAAAATTTTGTGAATTCTGTATTTTTCACGGGTGCGATTCCACTGGATCAAGTAATTTCTGCAAATTCTGTGGTCTATTGCTTCATCACTGGCTTTAAAAGCTAGGGCAAAATTAACTTACTGGACATAATGTATTTTATTACACTTCTTAACTTCCTAACTTAAATTAAGAATGTACATATGTACTTGCTGTAAAGTCTTAATTTAAATAGGACTGAAAATGTCGTTGCTTGAGAGATGTAATTTTGAACTAAATGCAAAAATGCCTCTGAAAATGGTGGGAGGGAATGTCCTATGAGGAGCAACTAAGGACTTTGGGCTTGTCTTGTTTGGAGAGAGGGAGGTTGAGGGGTAAACCTCACTGCTCTATACAACTTCCTGGGGAGGGCAAGTACAGAGGAGGTGCTGAGCTATTCTTCCTGATACCCAGTGATAGGACATGTGGAAATTGTCCAAAGCTGCACCAGGGGAGATTTAGTCTGGGTATCAGGAATAATTTCTTTACCATGAGGATGGTCAAACACTGGAACAGGCTTCCTAGAGAGGTGATCGATGCCCCAAGCCCATCAGTGTTTAAAGGGCTTTTGGACAATGACCTTAACATGTTCTAACTTTTGGTCAGCCCTGAACTGTTCAGTTGGACTAGGTGATTGCGGTAGGTCCCTTTCAACCGAAATAGTTTATTCCATTCTAACACACGTGCTCATATGATTGATCACAGAGCAGGTAGGACTGGGGAACTCATGTAAGTTAAAAACAAGTCAGGAATAATAGTGCTTTTGGTGGCAGTTCTAGCCCAGGTCAGAAAACTGATGCTAGCAACATGCAGAAGATGGAGCAAGTTGCTTCTTTCTCTGTGTTTTGAGCATTCTTTGATGGCGTTGTCTTAGTATTCATTTTTAACACACTTTTTCTACTGTGTATCAAACATAATCAGATTGTTGCTAGAGAATATAGATTTCTTTTGTTTTTCTTGAGTAGCTAACTTTCCAAGGTTATTAAATGTAAAATTAATTTTCTTGAGGTAAGAATTAATGTCCATTCACATAAAATAGAAATCCCCCCCAAAACCTCAACACTTCTGCTAAAGAATATGTGTTACAAAGCTCTGTGTGGCAGTTTTTGAACAAACAGTATGTCAATATTGTCTAAACAGTAATTTTAGATTTCATGTATCCATTAAAAAAATGCATCTTATGGTAGTTTGTGGAATTTTTCCATGCAGTAAAACTTCTGTTGTTGAACCAACTGTGCTTTTCTTTCAGTATTCTCTAAAACTGTACTCCGCAGCTCATGGGAAATAAATTCCCTTAAGAATCATACAGGAAACAGTTTGATGGGTAAATAGTTTAAGTATTTTAAAGCTCTTTCCTGTTCTGCACTGGAATAAACTAGGTACCTTCTGCAGTGAAGTTAAAACCAGAAGGAAGATTTTGCTTCTTAATAGCTAATAGTTTGTCCCATGCTTAAAGCACTTTAGGTGTAGAAAAGCAGTGTTTAACTGCTTGTTAAAACTGGGCTGTGCAGGGAGGATTTCGGTCCGGGTCTTCCATGCTGCAAAAGTAGCATCTCTGACTAGTTCTAACTAGGAATTTCAATATGGATATCCTGAGACTGAATTCTCAATCTCTCATGTTCAGAGCTTCATCTTTTGAAGATGAGTTGGGTTTGCCTGTTTTTCTGTCTCTACCTTTCTCTCCAAAAGAAAAGCCTGGAAACTTTGCAGAAAAACTTGAACAGTTTTGATACACAGGAACAAAATGAGATTCAGTATTAGTTCAATGTAGTTAATATTTTACATGTTGGAACTTACATGAGTTCAATAGCATAAGTTAGTCTTTTTTCCTTATTTCTTGAAAAGCAACAAAAAGGTCAGGCTTAAACTTCTTTTCACAAATGTAGTACTGTGCATTGGACTATTTTGTTGCCTTTCTAGCTCTAATAAAAAAGCCAGCTATAGTCTTTTTTCAGATAGGTGGTGGTTTTTCTTCATCCATGCAAACTGTCAGGACTGTCTGAATGATTCGTCTCTCGTGATCTAGCCTTAGAATACCTTCAGGCTAATAAGGAATGTTCTTATAAACAGACAGCAAAGCTGCTTAAGCAGTGTAGCTATTACATGTGAACCAGCTATAAAAGCAGATCTTAATTTTGCCATTTCTGTATAAATAAATGCAAACTTAATCTAAATCTGTGTGAATTTGACTTTCTTAATGAATGCATTCATTAGGGAGATGTGATGGGTTTTTTTTATTTTGAAGAGTTAAGGAAATATCTGTGAACCTGGAATAACCTTTGAAACCCAATAGCTGTTAACTTTCTTGGCCAGACTTTTCCAGCATTACCAAATAAAATAGGATATGACAGCTGGATATCAGGATTTAATTCCTTGGGTGAGAACTACTACGCTCCAGAAGTTTTCGAAGTGAAAAGGCTGGTGCTAATGTTCAGAGAATGCCACCCTAAATTCCCAAGTCATCTGTTTTGAGTGGTTTGGGGTGTGTGTTTGTTTTTATCATTTTGTTTTGCTTTTAATAACTGGTGTTTTCCTGCGGTAGCA